TGAACACTTAATGGGCCAAAAGCCCATTTCGAGCTGGGCTGATATGATCACCCATCTATGGGGCGGATCTAGGATTAAAGTTAGCAAAAGGATTGGGCCTTTAACCTTATCCACTCTAGGAGACCAAATTCAAATCAGATTTGAATCTGGTAACCTCCCGATAAGATCAGGAGTAAGCTAACCTAATCTGCAGATAGGATTAAGATCATCCCCTATCCAAATACTGATTTGGATTAGGATAACTCCTAATTACGAGGTTTCTTAATCAAGAAGAAAAGAGGAGAAACCCAAAGAGATCATAATCAGATTTTGAACCTAGGGTTTTGTGCAAGAGAGCATCCTGCGAATTGAGATAGGATCTCATACAAACTCTAGAGAGAAGAGAAGCTATTTAGCCATCTTCGTCCCAGGAGTTCTCCTCCAGCCGCCACCATTCTTTCTGACAAGATTCGATCTTTGAAGAAGAAAGAAATCAAGAAATCAGTTCTTGACATCAGTTTTGCAGAAAAGACTGAAAAAGATTTGGTGCTCAGAGTTTCTAGAGGATTCTTGCGAAGGATCCAGTGTGTAGGATGCACTCTGCTGGTTCCGTTCCACATACAATTGTGTCATCTTCAGCAGGAGTGGATCTTGGTGTCCTCTTTGGGCATGAACACCAACTTTGGGAGATACTGCTTCTCTGGATCATGTATAATTCCTTCCTTCCCTTTTGGTTTAGATCTGGTTCGATTATGGTTCAAGTAGGATCCTTGAATATTGTATTCTAAATTTAAGGAATATGATTCCCATATGAGAAAAGGTAGGAAAATTTTGAAATTCGCCCACCCATTCCGCAATCTTTATGGCGTCCATTAGATGGATCCTACCATTCTTTCAAATGCTTGGCCTGATGTTTTGTTTTAAACACTACAACGGGGAAGTGCAAACTTGCTGGGTTTCAAATCGTTCTAGAGTAAGATCGATATAGGCTTGCATTCGGGAGTTGATCAAGGATAGTGCTGCTTAGCGTAGATCATGTTTAGTATCAAGAGAAGGCTAGAACGCCTAAGCAACAACTGGAAACTATGCTCAACTGGTGAAGAGAATAGAGCGGGGAACTGATCTTTGATCGCGGGACTGAGAGAATGTAACTGGTAATTTGGTGTGAGGAAACTAACTCCAAACTCGAGTTCCACCTATCAGAGAATCTGCAGTTTATCGCCACTGCTACATCGGAGA